TATCTGATTGCAATGAATTGTGATATTTTTCGTCGAGTAGATTTTCAAGTTAAAGTAATTAAGATATTTTGGGTTGTTAACAAATTCTATGTGAATTATAGTAATATAAAAATGATAATTAGAAAACTATTATGTTAATTATCAATTGTTTGTTTATTCATATTAAAATTAAGATATACGATGCATAACATAAAACTTGTCTATGGTTTTAAATAATTAAAATTTAATATATAAATAATTACTACTAATAAAATATCAATTTGTCTACTAAATATAACTACTTCACTTTTGGAAATCCAAGTACTACACAGTATTAGTGCAAAGATTAGCACCCTCAAGTGACAACGAAAGGGTCACAACACATATGGTTTAGAAGCTCGACAATAGTGTTCACCGCTACAATTTCGTTGGACACCTTCGAATTGACGTCTTCATAAAAAGCTTTCTATTGGTAAACTTAAATAAATCTATTTGCTTTATCCATACATCTATATTTATATTTCAAGTTTAACAAAATCAGAAAAATGATACCAAGTAAGACTTTCTTCTTTTGGAACAAGAAAACTCATACTCCATCCGTTTTAATTTGTTTGAAACTTTTCGGAATACGATAGTCAAATTGACTAATTTTAATGTGAATTTGGACATAAATTCTTTAAGTTGTTAGAAATAAAGCTTACATATTTAAAAACTAAGTAAAAAAGTAATTTAAGTCACAACAGTTAACGACTCAAAATATATAACACTATTTACAAAAAATATGGTTAAAGAATAGGTTCATTCTTTTTGAAACGGAGGGAGTAATAATCTTAGGATTTTGTTTGCTGAAATTTAAACCTTATATAATCAACTAACAAAATTAATGAGTTTTCTACGATAAGAGTTGATTCTCATCTTCATCCGAAATGATACATTAGTCATATATTATTGCATGTTAGTTTTGGCATAGAAATTCAGTTAAAATTCAAGTTCTGCGCAAAAAATAATTAATTTATCTTCTAGAATACTAAACATATTTTCTTTCATATACTATCACAGTTTCAGCCAAATAAATTTGCATAGAAATCCATACAAAATAATAAAAGTTGAGATCGAAATTTCTTTGTTGATCTTAAAAGATGAAATAGAATTTATTGGGCTACTATTTTTAGGCAAGCAGATCGTGAACTGAAAGAAAAACTATAGCAATGTATTACTACAATTTATTATAGTATCAAACAAAGTCGTATAGCAAAGAATTTATAACAGAGTTAACATAATTGTTCCTCACAATCCCTGTACTAACTTTGATATGTATTAGACACAACGAAATAGCCATGTGCTTGCCACAATAGCTAAGACTATTGAGAGAAAATAAACTCAGTAAAACATTATGTGGCTGTCAAAAATTCAAAAGGCTGCAGATAGAGTAGGCGCAAACAGTTATGGGACCCACATGTATTAAAGTAATTATCTGGTTCTTTTGTCAAATGCAGACAAAGTACATACATAAAACAATCTAGTACAATATCCCTAAAGCATAATCATCTTGAATTGACAAAGGTGACCCTTGATCAGCAAACAGGCATGACGACCCTGACCTGCTTCCCAAGGGGCTTCTATATAGTAGTAATTACAGCACATGAACACGAAAAAAGAAATTGAATTTTGTTCCTCAATCATGGATTTACTTCTTCAAGCCTCGCGTTAACTGCCACAATCAAAGAAATTGAATTTTGTTCCTCAATCATGGATTGTATGGTCCAAAGTAATCAGGAAGAATGTGGTATAATTACCTTAGTGAATATTTAAAGATTATATAAATGATGCCATGTGTTCATATATTTTTATTTAAGAAAATAATATCGGAGTTTGTTATACTTCCTGTATATGTTGATAACATAAACCTTATTGGAACTCCTATAGAACTCCAAAAGACAATTGATTATTTAATGAAAGAATTCGAGATGAAAGATCTCGGAAAGACAAAATTATGTCTCGGTTTGCAAATTGAACATTTGGCAAACAAGATTTTTGTTCATCAATCTGCCTACGTAGAAAATGTATTGAAATGGTGTTACATGGATGGAGCACATCCATTAAGTACTCCAATGGTTGTTCGATCACTTGATGTGAAAAAGGACCCGTTCCGACCTTAAGAAAAGAATGAAGAGTTTCTTGATCCTGAAGTACCATATCTTAGTGCAATTAGTGCACTAATGTATTATGCTAACACTATAAGGCCAGACATAACTTTTTCAGTTAATGTCTTAGCAAGATATAACTCTGCTCCTACATGGAGTCATTGGAATGAAATCAAACACATATTGCCATATCTAAAAGGGACTACCGACATGGGCTTATTTTATGGCAATGATTGTGGTCCAAATCTTGTTGGTTATGCCGATATTGGGTATTTATCTAACCTACACAAGGCTGGATCTCAAACAAACTACGTGTTTACATGTGGAGGCACTGCCATATCTTGGCGATCGACTAAGCAATCAATCGTGGCTACTTCATCTAATCATGCTGAGATATTGTTATTCATGAAGCAAACCGAGAATGTGTATGGTTGAGGTCTATAATACATCTTATTCGAGAAAAATGTGGTTTGAAGTGTGACAAACTACCCACCATTTTGTATGAAGACAATGTAGCATGCATAACCTAATTGAAGGGAGGATTCATAAAAGAAGATAGGACAAAGCACATTTCACCAAAGATATTTTTCACACATTCTTCAAAAGAATTGTTATTTTAATATGCAACAGATTCGTTCACCAAATCTCTACCGACGTCAACCTTCAAGAAGCTAGTGTACAATATTGGGATGCGAAGGCTCAAAGATGTGAATTGATATTCTCATCAGAGTGAGTTTATATGCGTTGTACTCTTTTTTCCCTTATAAGGTTTTGTGCCATTGAGTTTTCCTTGCAACATTTTTAATGAGGCAATCAAAAAGCGCATTATTAAATATGTGTACTCTTTTTCCTTCACTAGAACTTTTTTCCACCGGTTTTTCCTAGTAAGGTTTTAACGAGTCACATTATCTACTAATGAATATTCAAGTGGGAGTGTTATAAATAATATTAAGAGTGAGTGTCCATATATTATAAAATTACTTAGGAGCAAGTTAGTTAGTCATAAACTAGTCTAGTTGCTTGGTCACTAAGATTTATTACTTGGCCACCAAGACTAGTTACTTGGTCACCAAGCAACTCTCTTATAAATAGGAAACTTCTCAACTCATTTGTAAAAACATCATTAATAGCATGATCAAGAAAGGATCTAGTATTATCTCTCTAAATTTCTCTTGTTTTACTTTATTTTACATTATTCCATAACAATATTGGGTTATCGATTAAATCGATTAAGAAATTGAATAAAGTGATACTCGAACTGATAACCTGTTAGTCATATAATTTCAAGTCGTTCTCGAATAATTAATCTAATAGCCTGATACCAATAAACTGTTAACACTTTCTTCGATTCGAATTACCTAGTAAGATTCAATTATAAAGAACCCTACTTGAATTCAAAACACTATACGAAGCTATTATATTGAAATCTTCAAATGCCATTTCGGAGTTATTTTCTCAAAGTCAAAACTCCGGTCGACTCTTACCATTTAAGCTTCCAAAACTAGGATCATTTTTTCAAATTGACCCCGAATCATCTGAAGACCGAACTCGATCACACACGCAGGTCATAACACACAATACAGAGCTGTTCGGGACCTTATGCCGCCGAACGGGACGTTAATTTTCAAAACGATCGGCTGGATCGTTGCAGAAATAAAAGAGGAAAATAGTCATTCGTTAATGCAAAAATAAAATTTGAATAAAAAATAGCGCTAATTAAAATACGAAAGAACTTTAGAAACGACCACTGGAGTTTGAAATTGTTCCTGGAGTTCGAAATTCTCGATAGGTGTAATTTTCATCCCTCCTTTTTTAAAGCGTTAATTTGTAGAACATTAATGGATAATTAAAAAAATAATGTAAGCAATCATTGATATTAAATTTTTATTGTTATTGTAGTAACCTAACCACTTCTCTTTAAACAAACTTGCATATGTTCATTTTTTGAAATAGATATATACTCCATTTAACGTGAATTTAGGGTGTTATAGTACGCTTCCGTGTTTATAATTATTATTTCGATTATTGGTGTTTAAATACGTTAGAGGCGGAGCTAGAATTTTAATTTTATGGGTTCTGAATCTTAGAACGACGACTTTAAGTTTCGATAACTAGGTACCAAATTTAATATTTCTTCATATTTAATGAATTTTTAATACAATTACATTGTTAGAATAAAAGTTATTGGGTTCAGCCGAACCCGTACGCGCGCTACTAGATCCGCCCTGTCCCCTCGCCAAGTCGATAAGATATCAGACGGATCGTATTTGTTTTGGGAAAGGATCATCATAAAACAAAGATCTTTTTATGTATCAAAATACCAAATACGAAAACATGAGTAATTGTTCTATTTTTTTTAACTTGAAGCATAAATTAAGTAGTTATACTGAATGCCACACGATTTATAGTCGATGGTAAAATAAAAATTAAGTATATAATATAGGGTTATCGGTTAAATCGATTAAGAACTTGAATGAAGTGATACTCAAAATGATAACCTTGTTAGTCATATAATTTCAATTCGTTCTCGAATAATTAATCCAATAGTGTGCGGTTGATATAATTAATTCAAGACTATTGGATTAATTATTCGAGAATGAAGTATATTTATTTAAAAAAAAAAATACCATAATATTTAAAAAGTAAAAAAAATAACAAATAAAGGTTGATAATTAAGAAGGTAAAATAGGTATTTGACCGGAAAAGAAATCTTGAGCATCATAATATGAACTTAACTAATTTTTATAAAAGGAAAATTCATAGATAGAACAACTCTCATCTAAACTAGCAGTAGTTTCAATCCATATTTAACAGAAAAATTTGAGTGCTCAGAAGAATAATAGCCCACATAAAGACGATGAACATATATATATATATCTAACGTGTTAAAGCTGGCTTCCCAGTTACCTTCTTGTAAGTGTACCATTTCGCAATCCAGAGATAAACGAAAAAGTTGATGAAGCTGAGGATGGCCAATAGCCAGTAAAAATAATCAAGGTGGCCTCTGTTCAAGTTATCTGGAATCCATCCAAGCTTTCCATGCCTTGTGGTTACATTGGTCACAATTGTAACGATGAGACTACTTAGGTAATTACCTAATGCAGTTGTTGTAAGACAGAGGGCTGAACACAAACTTCTCATAGCATCAGGAGCCTGGTCGTAGAAGAACTCTAGCTGACCGATGAATGTGAAAACCTCCGCGCATCCAATCAAGAAATATTGAGGAACTTGCCAGAAGATGGACATAGGAATCGTCTTGAGGTCATAATAGTTGTTCCTCCTTACATAGTCAAGCCGAATCACCTCTAGAACCCCAGCAGCAACCATGGCGAATATTGAAATAACAAGACCGATACCCATCCTCTGCAGCTGAGTAAATCCTCGTTCGTGGCCTGTCAACTTTCGTGCAAGGGGAATGATGACTAGGTCATAAATAGGCGCCCAGAAAATTACACTGAGGGTGTCAAATATGGATAAACATGCCGATGGAATTGTGAAGTTAGTGCCAATGTGTTGGTCCATTATGTTGCCTTGTAGAACAAACATTGTGCTCATCTGACTGTAGACACAGGAAAACACAATACCAGTAGCCCACACGGGGAGTAGACGGATGATCGACTTGACCTCTTCAACTTGAGTCACTGTGCAGAGCTTCCAGGGATTCACTGATCCATTGACTTTATCAGATCCAGTTTCTACAGCAGCCTTGTCAAAGAACCTAAGTTTCATTTTTCAAGAGGCAAAATACATACTGTAAATTAGTATACAAAATATAATAGAGTTGCAACTATGGTGAATGAAAGTGAGAATGTAAGGGCACAGTTACCTGAATTCTTCTGAGTGCTCAAGCTTGCGACTTCCCTTGATGTTGGATTCGACATCAGAAGTCTCATAAAGAAGAGACTCGTCAGGAGGAGGTTTGACATTACATTTTCTGATAGATGCTACAAATACCTGCAATATGCGAGTAAGGGGACTCCCTCCTGGCGGCTGGAGCCTATATAGACGTGTACCTGAAAAGAAAAACACTAATGCGATGGCCATAGCCACAGCTGGAACCCCAAAACCCCAGCCCCAGCCTACATTCATTTGTATCCAAACTAAAACAGACGAAGCGATAAGTGCACCAATGTTGATTGAGAGGTAAAACCAGTTAAAGAAAGAGCTTTTGCTTTTCTTTTCAGTTTCATCATTGTCATCAAATTGATCTGCCCCGAAAGAAGAGACACAAGGTTTTATCCCACCAGTTCCAAAGGCAATCAAGTAGATTGCAACAAAGAATGCTGTTTTCTGTGATCCTGTTGGGTTGCAACTTTCGTTATCACAGGCTGGCTTTAGTCCACTTATTGAAGCAGACATTGTCAAGAATGCCATTCCCTACATAAATAAGATAAGTTCATAAATTCCTCTGCCAAAATCAGCCTACTCGCTAACAAAATCTGAATGACAATAAACCTCTACATATTAAGTTACTGATGTATACTTACAATGATATAAAGGGTTGAGAAAGTTGCAATTGTCCAGTATCGCCCGAGATAGGCATCAGCCAAGAATGCTCCAAGCAATGGCGTGACATAACAGGTTCCTTGCCAATTCGTTACACTTCTTGACGACGCAGCATTATTTAGATTGAGCTTTTGCTGAATGTAGTTCACCAAATTAGTACTCATACCATAGTATGCCAATCGCTCGCATCCTTCATCCCCTGTGGAATTCAACCTTACCATGTCAAGGCTATTAATTCTACTATAACTAAAAATGAATTATACACAACTAGCTACTTGTGTGGATAAACGAAAACCATACCGAGGATGAAAGGGCAGGCCTTCCACGTTCCAGTTTTCTTCTTATTAGCTGGTTTTTTGTAGATGTCAACGGTCCCGTCCTTTGTGTAGTCCTCATCATCATCTCTTTCCATTCTAGCTTTTCTAGCCATGATGTAGAGCTTGTAATCTCTGGTTATCAAATCAATGTGACAGCCTAAGACCAAACAAACATAAAATTTATTTTAGTAAATCTCGGAAAGATCTCTACAATTCTTGTCACAAATCTCCACACTTTTCTACACATAAAATAAGCTACCAATACTCCTATTTATAACAGTATGAAACTTATTTCAACTAGAAATATGAAAATCTATTCCTATAATACAAATCCTATTTAGACATGAATTAAATAAACTAGAAAATATCAAATCCTAAACAATTTAGGTTTCTTACTGCAACTTTGAATTAGTTTTCCAATAAGTGCATGCCTAGTATACTAACTATTCCAAGATCATTACGTACGAGATGCATAAAGGGTACCAATTGGCCAAAATGGATTGACATCTCTCGAATATAAGAAAACAAGGAATGCAAAGAACATGGCTAGGAACTGGTTCAATATGGTCTAAATTGTTTGTTCATGCATGCAAACTACTTAGGAACCTGGAATAGACCGATGTCCATAGTATAAGGAATAAGTGAATTCGATTGTTTTGACACATTAGATGTTGGAGCAGAATTGAAATTTTAAACTATCAGGTCGTCTAAAAAACGCAAAATCATTTACGTTCAACTATCAGTAGTTATCCATAAAAAGTGATATTATTAACTTGAAAATAAGGCAGATATCAGCTATAACATGTTAATTAATATAGTGTACAATCATTTACGTAAGTGTATATATGATAAATCCTTGTTCAAGGTAAAAGCACCCAAAACTGCGAATTGTTGTAATACAGAACAACATAACGCCAAAAAAAAAAAAAAAAAAAAAAAAAAAACGGATGCATGAAGTATCCCGTGTTCAGGGTTTTGAAAAAGGCTGCTCCCCTTGAGGTATGATGTAAACAGCCTACCTTAGGCATTCATATTCCAAGGGAAGGGAGATCCATTAAATTATCCTTAACAAATTTAAGATTCCCATAACAGTTAAAAAAAAGATGTATAGATATAATCATGGTTAAAGTAAATACATAGAAGATAAGAGAAAAACAAAGAAAACTACTACATGCACACTCTATATATATATATATATATATATATATATATATATATATATATATATATATATATATATATATATATATATATATATATATATATATATATATATATATATATGTCAATATCAGAAACCAAAAAAAAAGAGAGAGAGAAAAGAAGTACTACTACAATTATCACCATAGATATTTAGAAAAGATTAAAACTACCTCAATGAAGAGAAAGAAAAAAAAGGAAGATTTCCCTTGTAGGTTTGAGGGAGGCGGCCGAGGAAATAAAGATGCAAATATCGCAGTTCCCGTTGGTGTACAGTTCCTAGAGTAGAGGAAAGAGGGAATATTTATAAAAGGGTGGTACAGCTCAGTGTACGATTCAGAATTAATCTGTGTTTGATACGTATTAGGAAAAAGAATAAAGAGTGTGAATATTTCTCTAGTAGTATAATAATACTGTTGGAGTTGGAGAGTTCTTTTTTTAAATCTAATATTGTTCAAGATTTTAAGCCAGTAAAATGGCCCGAATCTTATCCCTTTACAATAGGGATACGATTTGATGCTATTTTTACCTATAAAATTTGTCGTTTTGGGTCAAAAGTTGTGCACATGACACTAAAGTAACAAAAGAAACCGTGACTTAAAACAAGAGGTTAAATTATACTGAATTGTATAAAAAATAAATATTTATATTGTTGGTTTATTTTCTCAGATCATATATTTTTTATTAATTTGGTATAAATTTCTTGTGTTAATAATAATGCAAATAGAAAATAGACTTTCCTTTTTGAGTGTCACCCTTTGAGTTTCTCAAAAGATTATAGAATCAGTGAAAGCAAGAGTATGGAGAAATTCTAAGAATTGTATCGTTTTGATGAAAAAGAAAAGAAATGGGCAATGCCAAGACAAATTAAATGCTAGTCCTTTTTATGATTTTAATTTTAAAATCATTCAACTTGAAACTAAGATGAGTTTAAAATCATTCAACTTGAATCATTCAACTGTGTTCTAAAAGAAAAAAAAGAAAAGAAACGTTCTCCATTTTATAATATCTTTAACAAAAAAGAAAATTAGAGAATATGAATAGGGAAAAACAAGGCAAGGGAACTAAAATTGACAGACATATCATTGGCGTTCTAATAAGTGGTTTAGAAGGCGTGCGGCGTAAGGAAAGTATTTTATTTAACACGAAGCGAGGAGTAAGTCCTGAAGTACGAAGCGTATTTAATTTTTTAATATTTTAAAAATTAATAAATAAATTATTTTTTACAATAGAATATATTATTTTACTTGAAAAGTGAAAAACGTAAAGATGCTTTACAACTATCACATGACTATGATGGAATAAAAATAATACTCTTGTTCCTAATAATTCAAAAAATAATAGTGACTATAATATAAAATTATTGTTTAAAAACTTAAACCTATATAACAAAGCACAAATACTTATTATAATACAAATAGTGGATTTTTGCTTCTCCCTTGTGGATCTTCTAAGATTGATTTCAGGAGCATTCGAATTAGTTAGCTGAGCAGGAATTGGTTACTGATCAACCACAACTTCATCAACTGGAGCATCCATAACATCCACATCATGATGATCATTTTGATCTTGATCATTATCTTCATTATTGTCTTGGGTTCCTTCATGTGCAATAGGTTCCTTGGCAATAGAAAGTGGATCAAAATCAACTAAGCTCTCATTACTCTGAGAATCTATCTTCTCAGCTTTGTCAATATCTTCAATAGTCTGGTCTTCAAAGAACATTCCATCACGACATCTAATAGGTTTATTATCAATAGCTGTGTTTTGTTTTTGGTTGAGAATTTATATATTTGGGGATGTACCTGGAGATTTGGTTGCTGCAATTTTAGCTAAAAAGTTTTCTTGAGGATTTATCAGGGGATTTTTGCTATGTGAACTTTTTTCAAGTCAAACAAACTATTATATAATAATTTTCACTCTCATAAGGTCTTGAAAAGAAAATGTTTTAAAGCAACAATTTCAACATTATGTTTTTATAAATAATCGTGATTAATTAATTAATTTATTGATGGGCAGTGTCATGCATATTTATTAATTTCTTCATAATAATGTAATTATAATTTAATCTCATATAAAATTCAATGGAATGATATTTTCCGATTGTATATTACAAATCATTAAGAATGATGTGATCGGCTACTAATCCACTAATAAATTAATTGTCATAAATATGATTAATTAATGATAACAAAAAAATTAAATATCATAAAATATCATGAGAGAAGTCACAGAACATACTAAATTGTGTATCATTGAATAATTTAAGTATAATTATTAAGTAGAAAACCATTAGCTAAATTTATCATTGATGTTAGTTTTAACTATCTCCAATAATAAATTTATTGTCATAGATCTATTAATTAATTTTAGCTAATGAATTAAATATGGAGAACTTAAATTAGACCAAAACAATTAAAATGGTTAATCTTCCATACCCTACTTGCTTTGTTTAAGTTTGATTAATGTTGAGCTAATACCGTTAGTAATTATTTTACATTGTGTATCATTGAATAATTTAAGTATAATTTTTAAGTAGAAAAAATTATTCAATTATATTTATCATTAACATTAATATTAAATATATAAATTAATCGAAAAAATTAAATTTTTATCTGCGTATCCCGCTTATATATACTTCACTTTTACATGTGTTTAAGAATAATACCCCGAAGGTGATGATGCGGCTTCCGGCGAAACCTAGGCCACTTAGGCCCTTTCAGATGTTTTTGTTTTTTGCTTTTCGTATTACCTTTTGTTGAGGTTGTTTGTCCTTTATAATTTAGTTATCGAATGTTACTTAGAATGATTTTCTTATAAATTTATAAGTTAGACTTAAGTATTGAGTGATCTTTTAATTCTATTTTCAAATATCCTCTCGACTGACTTCTAATATTAATGAAGTAACTAAATTTTGTGTTCGTTATTAGAATTGGCAAAATTTATTTTACCAGTTATTTAATTATGTATAGTATGTTTAATTCTTGAAAAAGAATTATTACAGGATTTTTGAATCCACACTTACCGTATCTTTCTTAAAAAAATATAGAGAAAATAAATAATTTTACAACTTTATTTTGTAGATGGGAAAATTGGGAGAGAAATGGCTCACCACATCGGATGAATTCTGTAGCCTTTCGACCTTATATGTAGCTTGCCGATAAGGTTTGTAGAGCGTGTCAATTAATGCAGGGATTCTACTGTGTGGGTATTGGGGAAAGGTGCGTGGTGGTAGGTGTATATAATATTTTGTATATATAAAATAATTATGATTAGAAAGTGTACTGTAATTACAAAAAAATATATGTAGAAATTTAATTTAAATAAAATTGAAAGCGCAAAAACTCAATGTTAGAGAGATGTTTGGTGTAATAACGAGAAATTAAGTTAGTAAAAATAATTATTGTTTTTTTTTTTGAATATTTGCCAAAAAAGATTTTCTTTATGAATTACTTGCGAATTTTCATATGAAAATCCCTAGGAAAATTCATTTTTCACGATTTGTTTTTTACATTTTTAAAGATAAAATCCGCAGGTAATTTACATGCAGATTCATAATCCCCAGGTAACCTACTTGGGGATTTTAAAATTCACAGGTAACAATTACCTACGAAGATTTTTCCATCGGATTTTTTTGGCTGGAAAATCCGCAAGAAACCAAATTACCTGCGAAGTTTCCTCTAAAATCACCAGAAAAATCCCTATGTAAATAACACTTCTCTTGTAGTGGAAGTAGCTTTAGAATCTACTATCCAGCTCGTCTCATGGGATACCAAATTGATGACGTTTCATCATAAGCAAAAAGAAGGTTATCTCGAACAATAGCAGCAACATTGTTCTCGTTATTTTCAACTTTCTTTCCTTCTCTAATGTCTTGCTTTAACTTGTGGCAAAACCTTTTGATATGTCCTTTCTTGTCATAGTGGTTGCATATAATATTATGGTATTTGGACCTCGATTTACTTCTACTTTTACCTCTATTCCGCGAACCTCTTATTCTTTCTCTCCCCCGGTATTCTGTAACCAAGATGTCTGCTTTTGAAGACGAACCCTGAGATTTTCTCATTACTTCCTCGTTCAACAGACCACTCTTGGCATATTCCATGGTTATCTTACCTCCAGGAGCTGAATTTGTCAAAACAACACGAAGAGTTTCACAAGAGTCTAGCAGAGTATTAAGAAGCCAAAGTCCTTGTATCTCATCATCAAAATTAACATCCATTCCAGACAGCTGATCAATGACGCCTTAAAAATTATTTATGTGATCAAGGATAGGGCTGCCCTCCTTGTATTTAATGGTCATTAATTGCTTTAGCGGGAACAACTTGTTGTCCCAGTTTTTGAAGCATAAAGAGTCTCTAGCTTTTTGTGAAGCCCGTGAATTTTTATACTTAGGTTGGGCTAATTTCAAACTTAAGAATGCAATTTAAACATACCCGAGTTACATGAGATTACTTAAGTGGAACAAAGATATTGAAATGTATTGGAGATAACTATTTCATTAATGGTGAGCGTCGGGTTAATTGGGAGTAAAAAGAAGTCATAAAGAACACGTGAGAAATATTAATCCTCAAAGGATAAATACTGGACTAACATGCAACGAAGAACATAGTAAGCAAAACAAAAGAAGCAAAAGGATGAAAAGGAGAGGATCCGGAGGCAACGAATTTCATTGACTTCAAAGTCACCAACCTCACTTGAATAAAATTAATTAATAAATAAGTGAGTGGTTGAATTAAATTGCATGAGTACACTTACACATATTATGGGTATAATGGAATTAGTGGTTGGAGTTTTGGGTATACAAAAAGAGTCATGAGACTTGATTGGAAGAATATTGGCAAGGAATCAAAGGATGAAATGATAAGCTTCAGAGGATGGACGTTGGCTTGGATACGGCGCATCCCCATTGCTCCAATGTTCCCAGTTGCCAAGGACAAAAGCAGTGACTCCTGGCCAAAGCGCCAATCTTGGCGTCCAAAATATTAAATAAAAACGAGCAACAGTTGTTGCCTTTTAAGGCATTATAGGAAGGGATTCTTTTATTATTTCGAGGCTTGGTTTATAAAGGTCTAGAGAGAGAAGAGAGCTCTCCATCATTGATGTCCTCTTGAGGTAAGAATTAAATGTGTTTTTGGTAGATTTGATTCTTAAATTACATCTTCTAACTCTTCACCTACATGAGATTCATAGATTTTTCAAGAAAATCCCAAGAACATCTCAATAACTCAAATCTTGAAAATTTTAGGGTTTGACA